CCCTACCAGGAAGAGCGTCCAAGGGCCTATAAAGGCACAGAACAAACTCACTCCCCAACCAGTCCCCCAAACTCCGTAACTCAAAAGGCCCTTCTCACCAGGCAGTGCTCCCGGCCCAGCTCAGTTATCTGTAAACACTGAAACACAGCGCAGCTGACCAGGCATCACCCAGCTCACTTCCATCAGAAGGAACACAACATCCCAAGGCAGAAGTACACGAGAGAGAGTAACACAAGAGGATGAACCCATGTCAGAAAACACTTGTAGTGGAGAGAGTTGGGGAATGTAGGAGAGTATTGAGGCCCGTAACCCTTGACCAGATACTTGCCGGAGAACCTGGCCCCACGGGGGTATCAGTGAAATGACAAGGCTACTTTCACGTGGTGATCAGTCATTCACATATATTCGAGTGCCTTCTTTGTGCAAGGCGCTATTCTGGGTGCTAGGGATGGAGCAGTGAACGAGATAGGCCCTGCCCTCCTGAAGCCTTCACTCTAGTGAATGGAGGCAAGCAATGATCACAGCAATAATTAAATGCCTTCAGACAGAGACAAGTGCTCTGAAGAGAGAGGAGACTGCCTGAGGGTGTGAGGGACCTGGTAGGGATGCTGCTTTAGCTAGAGAGGTCTGGAAGACCTCCTTTGAGAGGTGACACCGAAGCTGAGACTCAGTCCAGGTAGACAGAAGAGCAAGGGCCAAGGTAGGGATAAGTTAGTGGTGTTTGAGGTAAGGCAGGAAGGCCAGTGGGGCTGGTGGGATTGGGGAGAGGGTGGTAGGAGACGAGGTCAAAAAGGCAGGCAGGCAGGGACCATGGGAAGAAACGGGGTTTTGGTGCTATGATAAATACAGCCATTGGAAGAGTTTAAACAAGTTAATGCCATCATCAGTTCTTATTTGAAAGGATCTCCCTGGTGACTGGACAGAGAACAGGCTCTAGGGAGGCACGAGTGGAAATGGCAGGAGGAAGAGTGAGCGTCTCTGACTCCTGCTCTGATGCTGGAATGTTCCTCACAGGGCACTGTCTATAGTAGAACCCAGCAGACCGATTTTTAAGTCCCTAGAAATGAGGATTTGCCCTCTAGGACATTTTTCCATCTTGGTTCCAGGCAAGCAAACGGCAGCTGACTTTAACTTCATCCTGGAGAGAGAGGCACGTAATTGTTTGAAATAATTCTGCTCTCCTCATTACCTTTAACGTTGGTTCAGCTAAAGGTGAATCAAATGACCTCCCATCCTGCGCGGCACAGATTGCTACAAAGGACCGTCTCTGCAAAGCCAAGCCAGTGTGACAGGGCCTTGATCTCTCTCTCTCTGCACCCCTCTCCCCTCCTTGGGCTCCTTGTCTCATAGAGGCCCTCAGCTGTGAGGTTAATGTTTGATAACAATCAGAATTGTCCAAATATCATTCTTCCTCATTAAAAGGTCATAGCCTGTGTTACAGAGGTTGGTTGCGGATGTGTATGTGTAAATTGTGGTTCGAATAAAACGAATGATTAAACATGAGCGTCCTAGGGCATACCAGGCAGGTTAGGAAATTGGCGAAGATAGATTCTGGTTGCAAAGAAACTTTTGTTAGAAGTAGAGCTAGCATTATTAATAATGTGGGGCAGGGGGGTTCCTGCCTTTGAATGCACATTGCCTGGTGCCCTAAGTTGGAGAGGGCAGCTGACCTATCATAGGCAACTGCCCAAACCTGTTAGGCCAGGTATTAATAATTCACCCTGGAATGATAAGTTTCCGGGAGGGCAGAGCTGATGACATCAGTGGTCTTTATCTACAGTTTTCTAACCCTCCCCTCCCAACCTGGCTTTTCCCTTTCCAAATAACCCTCCACCCAGCCCCCCACCTCCCCATTCACCTTCATTCAACAGCCTTAAACATCTCGCGTCATACTATCTGGAGAAATATCAAGTGTGCACACTCCATTTTTGGAAATTCTCTGGTAGTGTAGTTTAACGTTTGCATTTTTTCCCATTTCTTCATAGTTCTCCATCAAGGAAGAGAGTCAAACTCAGCTGTCTGGCCAAGGAGCAAGTTCTCAGAATCTACTATTTACCTATTTTCTTTTACTGAATAACAAACCCAGTCTAATGATTTACATTTTCTCCCCCAGCTTCTAAATATTTGCCAAAAGGTGGACTCCTAGGGGACAAGTCATGTCTAAATTGCTGTGTTTGAAGGAATTTTCTTTTAACTTCTAATCATTGACATATTTTTGATTTATTTTCTTTCTCTTTGCTGCCTTGGAATACTGCCCCTACTCTATCTTAACTGCACACTGGTAGTGATATATTGTGAGTAAAACGGGTTCCCAGCAGCCCGGAGTCCAGTTCCCCCTGTCTTTCTCTAGAAGAGATATTTCTTTTATTTTCTGTGCAGTTGCAGTTTCTTTTTTCTTTTGGTATTTATGTTGCATGTAGCAGTGACATCATGCCCCAACTCGGTCTGCAGAGTAGCCTGGAGCTGGAGAACCCTGCGAGCAGGGAACCCCTCTCTGTTCATCCACCCGCCCCCCACCCAACCCCCGCCAGCCTCTTGCCAGCTTCTGGCACTGTCTTATTTTTCCACTTGAAAATAAGACCTTAACAACAGTGTTTCTCGTGAAGGCCTTGTCTCAGGACCTTTAGGGGACACTGAGTCAGCTGAGGTAATTACCACTAGCTCTAGATGCTTCGTCAATTGGGGTTCATTGTCATGCTTGCCTTTGATAAATTATACTTGGTCTCCTCTGCTATTAAGCTTGAATCCCTATCCTGACGGAAACACATATGCTACATATATATTCCCGTGTTGTGATATATATATGATATGTACCAGTACTTTATATGTAAAAATGTACATTTTTATATATAAGCGTATAGATATTTTATAGAGAGAGTGATGTATTTATTACACCATATGTGCCTCTCTATACGAGTAAGTGCTTGAGAGAGAATTAACTGGATACCCAGCTTTGGGACTGTAAGTATCTAAATTGCCTTACTGGAGACAAGTAATTTCTACAGTGGTAATTGTTTCCTATAGTCTATGAAGCACCTTGCTTTAAAATAAAATTTCTCCCCCAGTAATACCCACTAGGACATACCTAGTTCCTCTATGGGTGTTAGGCATCTTGCAAGATCCATTTACTTGTTTAAGGAAGAGAAAGATGGCTTGAAGAGAACATTCCATTTCATTAATGAGCTATGTAGAAGCCAGAATGAGTACATATAAGTCTCTGAGCCCCTGAATTACTCCAGGAATAGGACTGTCTCTCCCAGCAAGATGTGGCAATTGACGAGGAGCTTGTAGGCCAGTATTTCTGTGTGTGACTTAGAGCAGTACTGCTTTCAGCGGCACCAGCGATCAGCATCCGTCTTTACTCACCTACAAGAGACCC